TCCCAATATACTCATTGGCTTGCGAATGGCCGAGGCCAGAACGACGCTGGCTGGCGCCTGGGCCTTGGTCGTGTTGTCCTGTAACCCGAGTGTGGCAGGGGCATGAGGCCCGGTAGAGAGATCTGGGAAATGGCCGAGGGTGGAAGACATTTCAGTAGCCATTCTCGAGCTGTTAGCAAGACAACGCTGGCCAGAGCCGAGGTGGGTTGCTCCACTCTGTAACCTAGCAGATAGGGGGTGTCCTGGGGCAGGTCGTGTCACCCCGTAACCCAACAGTTGGGGGTGTGAGACCCGGTTGAGCCTTGGTGACGAGTAGGTAGTAGGTTTTGGTTTTGCAGTTATTCATATAATGATTCTGCTTATCTCAATCCAAATGACTTGCTGTTTTCTCAGAGCCCTTTACTTGGTGTGGTGTAGCTTCATGAGCAGGTCCCAGTCAGTAGTTACTCAGGCCTTCTCTAAGTTTCCTTGAATCTTCAGGTGCTCTCAGCTGCAGCCGGGTAATGGCCCCAGTATGTCAATGATTTGTGTAATTCTATATGAGACACGGGGCCCGGTTCCCTCCGCGTGCAGCTTCCCGCGGATAGATTGGAGCAATTTGTCCCCCACAAAAAAAAAAGAAAGAGAAAAAAAGAAGTAAAGGAACACGGCTGTCACCAGATTCCAGATTGGTTGTTATCCTGGTTGCAACTGGAAGAAAAAGGACGGCTTTCCCAGATCTGTTCTGACTGTGGCTCTTCCCAGTGTGGAATTGTTACATTAGAACACTCCCCGCTAGAATGCCTCATGCCACTCCAGATGTGGTGGTGGTGGGAATGTCACGTAGCAGGGCCTCACGGATTCAGCCTTCCAGTAGGATGTAAAGCTTTTAGTCTGTATGTCACGCATACGCAACTGAGAAGGCAAACATCAAATGCACTCAGACCGTACCAGAGGGAAGAAGAAGAAGAAGAAGAAGAAGAAGAAGAAGAAGAAGAAAAGAGAGAAGACTAAGAAAAGACAGGTGTCCCCGAACGCAACTATATTGGAAAAATAATAATCGTGAAAGCACAGCGGAAGCAAAAACTCCCACAGGTGTAAGACCCGACCGGTTTCGCCTAGCCGCCCACTAGGCTCATCAGGGGTCTGTCAGTCGGCTGATGGACACTTGACAATTAGACGTTATATACTATCTCAACAAAAGTCATCAGTCGTTCTAGAGTCACCGGTAGTCCTTCACACAGCCGCGTCCAAACGTAACACTCGTAACCTCTACAAACTACTGAAAAATGACAAGTCCACAGTTCAAAGCCAGCCAGTCCCTACGATCATGAAACATCCTGAGACCAAGCGCCGAAAGATCGAACATCGTCAAAACCGGCATCTAAACTTCACCAGTAGTATCAACAATATCCTTCGATAGAATCCACAAGTCCCCGGTTCAAATCCCGGCCGAGTTCCTCACTCCTCAGTGACCATCAGTTAAAAAACTAGAAACCGGAGGACCAGAGATCAAACACTCGTCCTTTCTCGCATTCATGAACTCCAAGTACCGGCCTAAAGAGGAAAACATCGACTATCCCAGAAGCAGGCCCCTTAATAGACGAGATCAGCAACCCTCGATATGAAAAACGATGAACCCCCTCCCAAATCTCAAACAAGAAGAGCCCCCTAAAAAAGCGAGAGCAACTTCTCATTCATCGACTATCAAAACATCAATCCCATTTAGTAAGAACAGGTAGCCATTCTCCCCACAATCCTCCCTACTTCCTCGAAAAGTTAAACAAGGCACAATCGAAAAAATCCTCAGGATACCCTCTGCCACAACTCACATTTCAAGGCAAAACGAAAGGGAAACACCATCTTATCCAAGGTCAAAAAAGTATTTGGACGGTGCAAGAAGGAGGAGATAATTGCCATCTTCTTTTGACGGCTGGAGAAAGAAACGTAGTCTTGTATACATTGAAAGCTCAGCACCCCGGTCAAAAACGTATTCGCATGGTGCAAAAAGGAGGAGATAGATGCCATCTTCAATTGACGGTTGGAGAAAGAAACATAGTCTTGTATACAATGAAACCTCAACACCCCGCCCTCTCTCTGATTCTTCACGAGTGGAAAGCAATGGACTCCGTTGGCTCCATCTATAATTTTTAAGACAACCCAAGTAATCCCAACATTGACCCGAGCTAGTACGCTCTAGTACCGAATTGCTATCATAGCAGCAGCTAAACGATTCGATCAGGTCATACCCCCTGCTCAAGGAACACGTGTCATTCATCTTACAAATCACAAACACAGACGCGTCATCCACCAATCGAAATCCCCGAAACAGCCTCCGATCATTCCCAAGACTAGATAGAAACAGAAATTCATTGAAAGCACAAAGAAGGCATGTAAGGGCAGGACTCGAAGATTTACCCGTAGGAATACCCACAGCCTGTTGCATCAGCCGCCCAACAGCGACTACATAGGTGTTATTCAGCTCGTACGCCACGAAAGAAACAACGGAATCAAACGATGCACTCTTCCAACAAAGGTCCACCTTCCCTTTCAGTAACTTAGCCCCCTTCCCATGCGTTCTCAGTCCTACAGATCTCACTCCTTTCCCTTTCCAAAAATCGACCCCCTTCCCATGCGTTCACAGTCCTACAGATCTCACTCCTTTCCCTTTCCAAAAATCGACCACCCAACAAAGAGCTCTTAAGATAAAAGGATGAGGGAGGTTAACAAACATATCTTTAATGTCAAATGCGGCACCCAATAGAACACTCCTATTGGAAAGACCACGATTCACCTTACGGATCTCGGTCACCAAAGCAACAACACTTCGCAGATTCAGGTTACTATTCGCCAGCATATTCCACAGTAACGAATTAATAGCTCGAGATGCCGCTCATCCCCCAAACACTGCGCACTCCGAGAAGGATGGACAAATAGGTCTCCATCGGGCTACACCTTTATGTTTAGGAAATTAAGTATGCTTCACCCTGCTTTCCCTTCTTATTCCATCTCCCCATCGAATGCAAGCCTTTGGCAGTATACACAAATTCACATGCAACTAAGATATGCTTCTCCTTGCTGGTACATAGTTTGAACGACGAACTTTCCAAAAACAGCATGTTCATACCTCGTTGATAAACCATTGGACAACATACATACGTATCGCCAACATTATGATCAACAGGACAGCGAGCCAAAGCAGACAAGAGTCGAGTAATCCAGACCATATCGTCAACACACAAGCGAAGTCCACCACTGTCTTCCGTTTCGTGCTCCAAGTAACAACCCTTCACATCCAGGGAGGAAACACAACAAGGGTCAATGGGGGGCAGGGAAGGGTGAGAAGAGGAGGAAACAATCTGCGATCGAAGCCCAGAAATCCTACCAGACCATGAAGGACGAAGAATGTTCCTAGAGTTACGCACCCAAGAGGGGAAAATCTCACCAACTTTGCTGAAACGAAACGAAACGTAACGTGACCCTCTACACGGGGTAAGGATTCATCCACGGAGCTACACGAATAACAGGCATCACCATCCCTAAAGAACCTTCGAGAGTTACGAAGAACATCGCAAACGCTTTTGTTTTTACACCACACAATATGCATCCTTCGAACCAGCATCGACTTCCAGCTCTGACGAATATCAAGGTCCCCAACAATTCGTAAACACAACTATCTAACTTTAGACTTACAAACTTTATCATCATCCATCAGTCGGATAACAATCCGTTTTCGCACATGGATTCCAAATCTCGCCAGGATGCTATGGGACAGCAAGCAACGTAAACGGCAACGTGAGCGCTTCTCACTAAAGGTGCGAACAGCGGTAAAGGCAGCAATCATCTGATCAAAATCCCATACCCTTAGATCCACCCTTGTACTAGGATTCTTTAGAAACCCGACTAACGGCGCTTTCAAAGCCAAGGATCGACTCAGAAAAGGAATGATAGGGTCGAGTCTCAAGAAAAACCCTCCCGCAAGCCAGTCCCGAGAGTATCGCAGCTCTCTTACCCCAAACTTGGAATACACAAGAGAACCTCTAAATAAACGCTTCAAGACCTTTTAGCGATAAACCAGTCGGTTCCCGCCCGTACATTCAACAGTAAGACACCGCTCCTTCTTATCAATACAACCCTTAAGCAGACGAATGAGACTCGCGGAACAATCTCCATTATCAGCATTAAAAGTACACACAGAGCCAGACCCATTGACCGAGGAGGAAACCGAGTCAAAAGTCGCAACCATACACTTCTTTCGTCTTCAACACCTCTCTCGGAGCCCTGGTCTACACCTCCTCGCACGCCGAGAAGGATGGACATATAGGCTCATCACGAGTGTTGAGGGCAGGACACAGTAACCGAATAAATAGCTTTTCCGTCTCCAATAAATCTTCCTTACTGCAGCGGCATAACGGAACACAATCAGATACGCAAATATCCCACAATGACGCAACCACTGGTACAACCGTTCATTCCGATTGCCACTGTCACCACCCGTCTGCTGACAGGTCCGGTAAACATGCTCTCTCCACCTACAGTGCAAATCACGACACGTACTCCCAACGTAGATGTGACGGGACCAAGGTGAAACCAACGCATAGACCAGAGGACCACACCATTCATCGACATGTTGACTACGGGAAGTTGAAATGCAAGCAGAAATAAATGCAATCAGCTTACTACACCAGGGGATTTCTTCAAGAAGAGCCAGTCCTTACTCTGAAGCCAAAGAGTATCTAAGGAACGAAGACGACAACAGACATGAACCATATGCCAGAGCAAAGTCGCGTCGGGGCGTGACCCTAAGAAGAAGCGGTGACACGCCCCTCGTCCTTATGAGAGTCGCCATCTCCATCCTCGGTCACCTCAGCTACAGAGTCGGTCTTTCCAAGGTCCTTACTCTGCTCATCATCCTCGAGCGCCTTGTTTACCTGTGTTTGCGCGATCGTTTCCTTGGTATCTTCGAGTCGTGTATACGTCACCCCCTCCTTCTCACATATAGCCATAACAACATCTTTCTTAAGATTGAGCAGTTTCTTCCGTTCCTCCCTCAATGCAGCTTCCCGTTGACTAACCAAGACCATAGGGGTCTCCTTGACCGAATCTTTTCTGGCAGACCCACCGACAACTTAATCCAGCTTCGATTTCAGATTAGTTCCGCCACGTTTCTTCGCAGAATCCAGCTTCGCCAATGAATTCCTAAGCCGTTCGATCTCTTCTTCCGATTCTTTACGGGCATTAACCTCTCGCAACCGCATCTCCTTCAACAGATCCACCTCTTGCTGATGCCGCTCAACCATTGCTTTGATTTGCGGGTTGACACGTCCTGTGGCTCCAGGTGTTACAGCCGGAGTAACTCGAGACCTAACCCTGGCTTCCGTCGCAAGCGTCTGACCAATCGCCATAGCACCACGCTTGTTACCGGGGCGCAGTGCTCCGTTCTTCCATGCTTCAGCGTCGGCTTCGGCTACTTCACACTGCTTTTGCAGTGCAACGATGACTGCCTCCAACGTAGCCAAGCGTTTATCGGTAGCAGCCTTAACGTCCAGTTGCTCCTTCCGAAATCGCGTCAGCTCTTTGGCATCATCGCAAGTCTGTCTGATCGTGGCAGACGTGCTCACAGCATCTCGAGCACGTTGAAGGTCATCCACACGGGCCTTCAACTTGCGAACCTCGTCAACAACGGAGTCCTTCGTAACAACAGGCTCCTTCCGACAACACAGCATCTCAACCTGCGCACGCAGCTTGGCAATCTCCTCAGCGTCACTAGCCTTCTTCCCACTAACAACTTCTCTAACAGCATCCAACTTAGACGATAACTCTTGACGAATGGACGACTGAAACTCCTCCCGCTCTCTCTTTTCTCGTAGACGTCTTTCTTTTTCCTCATGTTCTCGTTTCTTCCCGTCATTTCCTTCTTGGACTGCTTTCTCTCGTGCAACATCTGCTTCGTGCTTACTGTTGATTCGGCTGATGATATCCTCGAGGGTATTGACACGCCTCCCAGCTTGCATTCGACATAGAAGGATAGGTAAGTAAGGGCTGAGTAGAAACAAGCACAAAGTTACTATTAGGTAGTTGACCTCCATTGAGTCTACGGTCAGGCAGTGGACAAAACCTTGAGATGTGTCTGGGCTGACCACAGTTATAGCAGTTACGGACCAAGGGTACATTGGGACTGTCATTCAGCATCTGGATGTGCGAAGTCACTCAATTGTAGTGTAATTCCTACGTCGGTTCCTTCGTGAAGCAAAGTCTGTATGTCAAGCATACGCAACTGAGAAGGCAAACATCAAATGCACTCAGATTGTACCGGAGGGAAGAAGAAGAAGAAGAAAAGAAGAGAGAAGACAGAGAAAAGACAGGTGTCCCCGAACGCGACTATATTGAAAAAATAATAATCATGAAAGCACAGCGAAAGCAAAAACTCCCTTAGGCGTGAGACTTGACCGTTTCGCCTAGCCGCCTACTAGGCTCATCAGGGGTCTGTCAGTCGGCTGATGGACACTCGACAATTAGTCGTTATATACTATCTAAACAAAAGTCATCAGTCATTCTAGAGTCACCGGTAGTCCTTCACACAGCCGCGTCCAAACGTAACACTCGTGACCTCTACAAACTACTAAAAAATGACAAGTCCACAGTTCAAAGCCAGCCAGTCCCTACGATCATGAAACATCCTGAGACCAAGCGCCGAAAGATCGAACATCGTCAAAACCTGCATCTAAACTTCACCAGTAGTATCAACAATATCCTTCGATAGAATCCACACGTCTCTAGCTCAAAACCCAGCTTAATTCCTCACTCCTTGTGACCATCAATTAAAAAACTAGAAACCGGAGGACCAGAGATCAAACACTCATCCCTTCTCGCATTCATAATATCCAAGTACCAGCCTGAATAGGAAAACATAGACTATCCCAGAAGCAGGCCCCCTAATAGACGAGGAGCAACCCCCGATACGAAAAACGATGAACCCCCTCCCATATCTCAAACAAGAAGAGCCCCCTAAAAAAGCCAGAGCAACTTCTCATTCATCGATTGTCAAAACATCGATCCCATTTAGTAAGAACAGGTAGCCATTCTCCCCACAATCCTCCAAACTTCCTCAAAAAGTTAAACAAGGCACAATTGAAAAAATAGTCCGGATACCCCTCTGCCACAACTCACATTTCAAGGCAAAAAGAAACGGAAACATCATGATCTTATCCAAGGTCAAAAAAGTCTTTGCACGGTGCAAAAACGAGGAGATAACTGCCATCTTCTATTGACGGCTGGAGAAAGAAACGTAGTCTTGTATACATTGAAACCTCAGCACTCCGTCCTCTCTCTGTTTCTTTATCAGTGGAAAGCAATGGACTCCATTGGCCCCATCCAGAATTTTTAAGACACAACCCAAGTAATCCCAACATCCACCCGAGCTAGTACACTCTAGTGCCAAGTTGCTATCATAGCAGCGGCTAAACAATTCGATCAGGTCATACCCCCTGCGAAAGGGAGACATCCCACTGTCAAAGAGGATTGTAGTGAGTGACTGAATGTGGACGTGTTTGTGGACAGGTGCAAAAATTTGGGATTGATCTTCTTTTCTGCATATCTGTGTGGAACATGTCCAGATTTAGACTCTTATTCCAATCCTCTTTGCCAGTGGGATCTGGCCCTTATCCTCCTGGACGAACAAGCCGATTTTCCACCACATTGGTTGCCCTTCCAACAGGATCCATTCAACGTAACAAGCCTTGGTATCTGACATTTGTAGAAAGGAAAAGACATGCCAGAGTAGGACACATAGATAGCACACACACGACTGGGGCTGGCCGGGGCTTTCAAGGCTACATAGATAGCACACACACGACTGGGGCTGGCCGGGGCTTTCAAGGCTTCGCGCCCGGCCTTGTCCAGGCTTGGTATCTGACATCTGTGCAAAAGGAGAAAAAACATGCCAGAATGGGGGTTGGTAGGTGACGTAGACATAATGCTTAAGCCTGGCGCCCAATGTACCCAAGTAATGTGGATTACTTGACTGTGCCTCAACTGGGGCTGGGTGGGGCTTTCAAGGCTTCGCGCTGGGCCCTGCCTAGCCCCGTGCCTAGAACTACTGTCTGGTCCAAGTTGCCCTCTGAAATAGCATGGTGATAGTCCAGTACTCAATACTGAGGTAGGATGCGCTAGGAGAATTGCCGAGAGGATGGGTAAGGAGGTGGTCTTATGGAGCATAAGGGAGTGTCAGGACAGCCAATAGCTGTGGCAGTAACCCCGTGTGTCCGGAGTCCGGCTTTTGCAATGACCCGGGCCTTTAAAAAACGATTTTTTTTGTATTTTTTTTTTTTTTTAATTATAGAACCATGGCTACGCCGGACCCGGACCCGGACCCGGACCCAGACTGCTCATGTCCGGGAACCGGACAAATGTCCAGTCGGGTCCCGACGTCCGGACTTCCGGAAACGTCCGGACCTCTGGACATGCATGATTCCGGATGGTCCGGACCGGTAAGAGGGTCTGGAAATGTCCGGACCATTCAAAAAAAAAAAAAAAACTGAAAAAAAGTATTTTATGCAGAATAACAATTCAAATCACTTTTGCCTCAGAGTCATGTCAGGATCTGTGTTGTCGCGAGTTCACTGAATGCGCGTTGCGCATTCAGTATCTGAATTCATTTGACGCGCGTTCAGTAAACACGGGTGAATGCGTTTGACGCATTTGCGGCTGGGCCGAAACGCGTCGGGGAAGGGGGGGGAGAAGGGGGGGGGAGGAAATGTCGGCAGGGGGGATGGGTGTTTGGGGGTTGAGGAAGGGGTGTGGGCACCTGCCCCATCCCACTGTACTGAATAAAAACAAACGAAACAGAAAAAAAACAGGGAAAACAAAAGCCTACCTTACTGTGTGACACTGTGTGTGTCAACGTGTGCGTGTCTCAGTGCACACGTGCACACACACACGCACACACACCACAACAGCAACCTCCTAATGAGTCGGTGAAAGTCCGACGAAACAGTCTGGCACAGTCATGCTTTTTTTGAGTGCATAGCAAAATAACAACACGAGCCAACCAATAGATTGATTGAATTCGATTGATTGACTCAATCGATTGTACAGAATCGATCGATCGATTTGATTGAATCAATCAAATTGATTGAATAGATCGATCTGTTGAATCTAATCGATTCATTAATTTTTTTTATATTTTTTATATTTTTTTTGGGTGTGCTGTTGTTTGTGTGTGTGTGTGTGTGTGTGTGTGTGTGTGTGTGTTGTCATATTCGCTATACACTTAAAAAAAGAATGACTGTGCCACACTGTTCTATCGGACTTTCACCGGCTCATCAGGAGGTTGAACCCCGACAATCTCCGGAGGACGCATTTGACTGAGGGATAAGGACTCACCGCATTGTCCAGAGTTAGCAATACCCCTCTGCGTGTGTGGGGGTGGGGGGGGGGCGCAAGCGATTGCACACAACTGCACGCGTGCAGACACACACACATGTTGCATTGCTTGTGTAAAGGTGAGATTCCTTGCTTGTTTAAAGGTAAGGTTCTGAATAGATATTAACTTCACAAGCAAAACTGTTTCATTGGTGGATTGGCTCATCTTGAGAATGCTTCATTGTCTGCAATACAGGTAAAGTTGCTATGACTTTGGATCTACTCATCTGGGTGGAATAGGGGAAGTTGTGGTGATGTTTTATAACACACACACACACA